TGGGTTCTTGTTGTGACCTGGTACAAGCTCTGTCCATACGCTTACGACAACAACTGTCGTTGGGTAAGACGTCTATTATCCACTTTACTACTACTACCAATGCTATTATTTTGGAGAAAACGTTCCGTTAAACGACATGTCGCTGGGTAAGCATTTATTTTTCGCCTTTCTTCTGCTCATCTTTGATTACTATAGTTTGCGGAAACAGTGAATCGGTGGAGCCTTTTGCACGCTCTGATTGGGTAACCAACTAATAACTAGCTTTTCCCATAGTGTTACTCCTAAAACTGCTCCCATTGCCGTAGGTGCTGTTTTATGAACTATTGAGAAATTTGATAATATAATTATTACAGTCTTGAATTTGCATGTAGCGATCTCGTACGTCCGTAAGATCGAAACTAAAAAAAGCTTTGAAAGTGACAAAAGTCCATTCAACTGAAGAAAAACGTAGTACGTTTTATTGTCGATCGCCTGATGTCGTCAAGGGACTTGCTGTTGTTGATCGCTGACACGGGTTACTGCATTTTCTTGCATTTTCATTTGCAATCTAACTTTACTTTAATTTCTCTTTCAGAGTAACACTTTTCAAGCTGTCATAATTACGGATGGATTTAACACATTTTTGATGTACAACTACCCTTATGGTGGAATTGAGTGGGTGATTCCAGCGGATCCGTAAGTGGATTTGCATTGAATCCAATCAGCGTTCTCATGTGAGAAATGATTTAGGCTTATGCGTCTGAAGATTGACCATGGCTTAATAGTGGAAATCAATCTATCAATCTCTTTTCCCGTCCGTCTAGACATCGATCTTGTTATTTTGTTACCATTGTTGATGATGATGATGGTGGTAAATTTTTTTTAAATTTTTTATTGTTGATACTTTTGTTGTTGTTATTTTGTTGTCGTTGCTCATCTTTCCACGGAGGGCGTAAGGGAAAAAGCATTCAAATTGTGTAACTTTCATTCTTGCAGGGATGATTACCGTTACTGGACTGGTTACTACGGTCTTCCTGTCGCTGGCTGGAACGCAGGAAATGATGGAAAAGATTATCACAACCACGCAGCGTGAGAAGTTAAATTTACGTTTATATTAGTGTGGTGAAGAACAGCAGCGTTAGAGAGAGTTTACACATAAGGACAATGCTATATTTATTCTATCGTTGTGTCGTCTACTACAATGAAACTCTTATGCTGTGCTAACTGCAGTCGTCCTACATTACAAAAATGAAACTTTTTACACAAGTATAACTATTACGCTT